AATATTTTACTTGATATTTTTCAGGACAAGTCTATACAGCTTAAACTGTCATTTAAAGGCTTAACTAGGTTAATAAAGTGAACTAGGCAAGTTATTGTATAACGATGGTTTGTTCTGTAGACTATCGGAAAAAAAATAGCTTAAAGGGGCTAATAATTTTGTCCCAAAAATGCTTTTTAAAAAAATTACAACTGCTTTTATTCTAACAGAAATAAAACAAATAAGACTTTCTCCGGAAGAAAAAATATTATCAGACATACTGTGAAAATTTCCTTGCTCTGTTAAACATCATGTGGGATATATAAAAAAATAATAATCAAAAGGGGGCTAATAATTCTGACTTCAACTGTATATATATATATATATATATATATATATATATATATATATATATATATATATATATATATATATATATATATATATATATATATATATATATATATATATATATATATATATATATATATATATATATATATATATATATATATATATATATATATATATATATATATATATATATATATATATATATATATATATATATATATATATATATATATATATATATATATATATATATATATATATATATATATATATATATATATATATATATATATATATATATATATATATATATATATATATATATATATATATATATATATATATATATATATATATATATATATATATATATATATATATATATATATATATATATATATATATATATATATATATATATATATATATATATATATATATATATATATATATATATATATATATATATATATATATATATATATATATATATATATATATATATATATATATATATATATATATATATATACCTGTGTGTATTCCTATTGTGATATTACCACATCAAACGTGACGTGCTAACATGGAGGCAGCTCAGAGTGAATCTGATTAATGTTAGTTCCACATCTGACTATAAGGCACCTTTAGCTTTTATGCATTCGAGTAAAACATATATGAACAAAATTGACCGGGTGCTTTTTAAAATGAATGACGTTGAATAAAAATCAAACCGTTGAGCCGTCTGACAAATAAAAGTCCCCTTCTAAATCAAATCAGCAGGATGCCCTTCAAGATCTTTCACTTACTTCGAAGACACTACTGACTACGCTTACATGGACATCAGTTATCTAGTCTAGATTGCAAGTTTTTTTTCAAAGAATGCAAAGCAGATCAGGCAGCCTTTGCTCCTGTTCAGTCCAAACCTCCCAAGGTAACACAACAAACCTCATTAACCACCTTAAAAGCCATCACAAAGTGGTTGTCATCAGTGGGTTAACGCACTCAGGAGAATTCTGCTTTGCAATTTTCAATGCATTACTAACATCGCTAAACCAGACATTTGTTTTATAAGTTAACCATGTATTTGTGTGGGTTTCCGCAGGGTGTTCCGGTTTCTCCCACAGTCATGCACTATAGGTGAATTGGATCAAATTTAAATAGTCTGTAGTGTATGAGTGTGTGCATGTGAATGCGAGAGTAGTGTATAAGTGTTTCCCAGTACTGGGTTAAGGCTGGAAGGGTATCCGCAGCATAAAACATATGCCAGAATAGTTGGTGGTTCACTCCACTGTGTCAACCACTGATAAAAAAGGGAGTAAGTCGAAGGAAAACTATTAAATGAATGAATGTTTTTTTTGTTATAATCCTGTAATTATTTTTATTTTTACTTTGACAGAAAGGCAATATAAGCATATTTGGTTTGTGTAAGCTGTCAATTATAATTCCTCACATTATTTTATTTTATATTATAGAATAATAATTATATTATTAAAAAAATCTAAATTGGCAAAAATAGATATCGGTACATACCAAAAAATCTGAATCGGCCAGGAATTGTGCAATCAGTGCATCTCCATACAAAATTATATTGTTTAGAAAATAATAAATAATCATTACTAAGCATTTTTGGTCTTGGTTTTAACACATCTACACAACTTCAACAAATAAATGGGACTAGATTAAAAAAAAGATGACTGAAATTAAGAGCTTTAATAGAGTTTTATTGTTACAGGGTTGTTTACCTCTAAGATTTGTGGAATAGCAGTTTCAACAGAACAGAGGTCACAGCATTGAGTGGAGCAAAGTGGAAAGCTCTGAAAATTCCTGACGGCACTTGGATAGCAATTGTTTGATAAGATGCAGCTTGCTCATGCTAGTAAGACATGCTAATTTTTGCCAGCTCGTAAGATATATCAGGTTGCTAATAGTGTGCTTGAGGCAAAACCTGAAGCTTGTACAAGATCCCATATGCAATGTCAACATATAGTGCACTTGTACAAGTGTTAATGTTAATGTAATGCAGCAAGTTTTCTTACCCAGGGTATCCTCAATGAGTTTATCCAGCTTCTCTGTCATACTTGTTGTTTTGTCCTGTGAGATATCCTGGACCTTGTTGACTATCTCTTCTTTGATTGCATTGATCACAAACAGCAAACGATCTGGAAAAGACAGACAATGTTATCTTCGTCTCTTTTTTGGTAAACACTGATGGGCCAAATATGTAACGGTGTTTTGAAGGATTGTATCTTAAAGGGTTGTAGCAAGTGCAGGGTCATTACTTATGGGTGAACTACACCATTAATATCCAAACAGAAAACATGGGAAATATATACACAATATTCAGAACAAAGTTACGTTTGGATTCAAAAGTGACTGTCTGTATATGATACTGTATGTAATATTCAGGTCTGGACTCTGTGGAGGCCATTTCATGACTGTCTGTATATTATACTGTATGTAATATTCAGGTCTGGACTCTGTGGAGGCCATTTCATGACTGTCTGTATATGATACTGTATGTAATATTCAGGTGTGGGCTCTGTGGAGGCCATTTCATGACTGTCTGTATATTATACTGTGTATTATATGCAGGTCTGGACCCTGTGAAGGCTATTTCATGACTGTCTGTATATTATACTGTATGTAATATTCAGGTCTGGACTCTGTGGAGGCCATTTCATGACTGTCTGTATATTATACTGTATGTAATATTCAGGTCTGGACTCTGTGAAGGCTATTTCATGACTGTCTGTATATGATACTGTATGTGATATTCAGGTCTGGACACTGTGGAGGCCATTTCATTACTGTCTGTATATTATACTGTGTATTATATGCAGGTCTGGACCCTGTGAAGGCCATTTCATGACTGTCTGTATATTATACTGTATGTAATATTCAGGTCTGGACTCTGTGGAGGCCATTTCATGACTGTCTGTATATTATACTGTGTATTATATGCAGGTCTGGACCCTGTGAAGGCCATTTCATGACTGTCTGTATATTATACTGTATGTAATATTCAGGTCTGGACTCTATGAAGGCTATTTCATGACTGTCTGTATATTATACTGTATGTAATATTCAGGTCTGGACTCTGTGGAGGCCATTTCTTGGTTGTCTTATTTCTCCTTCATCAGCTGTTTTTCTCTCCAAATATGATTTCATTACATTAGTGTTGTGTATGGGCTGAAAAATAAGACTATTACAAATTAGATGCTTTGCAGTAGGAATTACATGCTGAATAAAACCTGTCTGTACTTTTCAGCATTCACAATGCCATCAGTTCAGGCAATATTGACAACAGTTCTGGCAGAAATGCAGATTAAACCAAGACAGAAACTCTTTTTGTTTTATTCAATCTTCTATCTTTCTCGAACTCATTCTTTCATATGTCTTAGACCAGGGGTCACCAATCTCGGTCCAGGAGGGCCGGTGTCTCTGCAGGTTTTAGCTTTTACTTGCCTCAATACACCTGCCTGGGTGTTTCAAGTATATCTAGTAAGACCTTGATTAGCTTGTTCAGGTGGGTTTGATTAAGGTTGGAGCTAAAATCTGCAGGACACCGGCCCTCCAGGAACAAGGTTTGGTGACCCCTGTCTTAGACGATTAGACCCAAACAGGCAACTGGGCAACTTTTCTGCTTGTATTAAATAAAGAAAATGAAAAGTAACAATGTTATGAAACCCTCACTAAAAACAAATGTAACTGGGGGCCTAAGACTTTTGCACAGTACTGTGTACATATATAGGACAGAAATATGTGCATTTACATTATTTAAGAAGCTTTCTAGGTATATAGAATCACTACACCTAAATATGTTGCATTTGGTTATGACAATTTCAAAATTTGGCAAAAGTGCTCACTCTGTGTGGTCAAGAGAGAATCAATCATAGACGTCCTACAATAGACAAACAAGCACTTGCTTTAATATTTAATTTCAATGTAAAACAAAGTACCATATTCGGTTCCAAGGCCCCACAGCTTGACTTTGTTGGCCTCATACTGCGCTTTCTTCTTTAGCCGGCAGGCCCTGGTGAAGAAAATCACAAAAAAAGCAATATTTAGGCTGGATGCTAGTATAATATTTCCATTTCATTGATCAAGTTAATTCACTTTAGTGTTGTGTATTTCAGCATTTTACTGATAAAGCATGACATAAAGTTAAAGGAACCATATGATATTTTAAAAAGAAGAAAAGTTTGTTCATTCGATGTAATGCAGTATATTTACATGGTCTAATGTTTAAAAAAACACCTTTTTTCACCTACTTTTTTCAACTACCTGATAAAGTTATTGTAGCCCATCTAAGTTTTAGGAACAACAAATAATAACTTGACTTCTGGTTGATTATTTGGTATCAGAGGTGGCTTACATGAAAGGTAAAGGCCTCTAGATTGTAAACATGATCATGCCTTGATTTTGATTATTTAATTAGGACAGTAAGCTCTGACTTTGCTTAGACAAAAGTCTTATCACTTAACAAAAATAATGTACAGTATAGAATATAAAGTCATGCTGCAGTGGAGAAATAATGAATATTGTGTATGACTCCCATGAGCTTGGGCAACTGCATTAATAAATCTCTGCAATGACTCAAATCACTGATTAATAAAGTCATCTAGGATGGCAAAGAAAGCGTTCTTGCAGGACTCCCAGAGTTCAAGATTCTTTGGATTCATCTTCAATGCCTCCTCCTTCATCTTACCCCACACATGCTCAATAATGTTCATGTCTGGAGACTGGGCTGGCCTATCCTAAAGCACCTTGACGTTCTTTGCTTTCAGGAACTTTGATGTGAAGGCTAAAGTATCCTTTGCCCTCTCCTGTGGTTTGTAAAGTAATGGGCAGCACACATATCTTGATACCTCAGGCTGTTGAAGTTGCCATCCACTCTGCAGATCCCTCATACTGAATGTAACCCCAAACTATGATTTTCTTGGGTCCAAGCGGCTTCCAACAGGTCTTACTTGAATGCAGTTCAACAGATGATTCATAGGAAAAATCTACCTTCTGCCACTTTTAGAAGTCCTGAGTGTTGTGATTGGCTGAATTCCAACACTACATTGTTCTTTTCCTAACCGATGCATCGTACTATGATAGTTCAGCCGCGAGTTACGTTGTTGTTTGAGAAACGCATACCATATTGAAACGATTTTATTTTACAAACAATTTTGCATCTTCAGCACATGATGGAATCTCTTAGCATATGCCTTTGGCGTTGTTTTTACAATCTTCATACCAACTGATGTACATGTGTGGGGAAGGGCTGGAACAAGGCATTTTATGTAGGTGTGGATGAGTCTTAACTTTTATTAAGAATATCTTTTTGTGTTTGAAACTTCAGCCTTTGAGACTTCACACATCTCATCTATGCATTAACAGCTTGCGTCAAAACAAAGTTCAAAGAAATCATGAATTAGCATGATATGACCCCTTTTGGCCAGTTTATGTACTGCATTGCAATTCCAAAACAATAGTGTTTAAAGGGCCATGACACCCCCCACTTTCAGTTAAAGTCTACTTCAGAATTTTTTCAAAAGATGCATGAATAATGGGCGTGGAGCTCCGCGAGCATCGGGCAGGAGTGGGCGTAGCCAGCAGGGGAGAAGGTGAGCGAACAACTGTTGTAGTCAGTTAGCTCACAAAATGAGACAAACCGTGAGGAGACGCATGAGTTTATAGTTTACAAAGTTAAAATGCAAAGAAATGAACAGTGCTTTAGTGCCCTGCTACATTTGTTATTCGTAATTTCATATACACATAACCACAATTTATATCATTATAAAGATAAGTGTGTTCATGTAAACACTATAAATGAGGACTTCTCCCTCAATCCCCGTATCCAGCAGACTCAGTGCAGCAGGTCTCCTGACCTGTCTATTTTAACCATTAACCCTGCTGGTAATCTGGATTTAGGCAAACACAGCAGCACAGTGATGTGTCTGAATGTGAATGAACTCCTGATAAAAGACAGCGTCCGCCATTCTCTAATTCTCTTGCTGCTCTCCCGACAAAAATGCTAGAAGCACACACACAGCTTTGCTGTATAATCGGCCCTGACAAGATCGCGGGGGAAAACATGCAACAAACCCCGTGGATCATGGAAACAAACGCATATGAGCCTTCATGAACGGCTAAAAACTGTGTGCTAGGGTCCGTGTCTCAGCTCCGGCTTGATTCTGGCAGGTCTGGCAGGTCTCATGAATAATTAAGCAGCCGGCTCTTCTCATAGGATAAGAAAACTCCGCTATGAATAATAATGAGAAACCGACGCGTCATCATTGCACTTGCAGTACTGCGCTACGTCGCCGATTTTGATCCCGCCCCAAAAATTATTTTAAACCCGGAAGCTGAAATTAGCTGACAAAAGCTCAAAATTATCCAGTTTTCCCCAAAATTACAGCTGACAGGTGCTAACATTGTCTTAACTGATGCTCAACACACACAAATCTGTTAATATAAAAAAAAAGTTCTCCAGTGTGTCCTGAACCTTTAAATGATTAGTAAGTGATGCAGATGTGGCTTTACCTGGATGCAAGCTTGTTCTTCTCCTTTCGAGAGCGAGGCCGAGCAGTAAGGGGTAATTCACTGACGGGTGTCAGGTCACTGATGACTTTATTGAGCTTCCGGAGCTCATTGCCAATCTGAAGGAGCTTTCGAGGGTTTGGAGTAAGATCTTCCACATCCGTTCTCCGGGATTTCTTCAATGTGTACTTTCCTATACATGCAAGTCAAACATTGGTGTCAAACACATCAGCCTTAATGATTTTGACAGATAAGACAGACCCTATGAGGTGAACAGTAAATATCTAACCATGATGCAGGCCATTCTTTTGGTACATGTTGCTGGGAAGCGTGTCTCTGTCCCATTCGGAGGGTTTCAGCATGCGCTCCTGTTTGAATGGGATGATCTGCTCGCTATACTCCCAAAAGTATCGGCGCTTTCCTCTCTTCCTGGAAATCCCAGCTGTCAGGCCTTTGACATCATCGACCATATCAGTGTCACATCCTGTTTAAAAGAGGGGATTGTGATGAGGAGGAGAAAAAAAAACCTTTGTGCACAGAATCACTAAACAATTGAAATCGTTCATTTTTTTTCAATGTTTTGATTCGCACAAGTGACGCGAAAAACATCCTGCCAGTCTAGGATCAGACATAAATATAATCTGTGCTTTGTACCTGTTGTTAAAGGGTGCAAAAGTCACTTTTTTTTTAGTTTGTAAGTTTGTGTGTGCTTAATGCAATATGTAGTCGCTTGGTAGCACTGAATTTCATGGAGCCAGATCAGTCTCAAAAATAATACATGTACAAAATACAATTCCTACATGCAGAGCACAATTCACATTTACAAAATCCAATTTGTAAATTCAAAACACAAATTATGAATACAATACACAATTTGTGAGTTCACAAGTAAATGTCATAAATATTGTCGGCAAACAAATTGGATTTGTGTATATTATGAATTGAGTTTTGAATGTGTGTATTTTTTAAACATGTTATGTATTTACGAATTGTGTTCTGTATTTACGAATTGGATTTGTGTATTTACGAATTGTGTTTTGTATTTACGAATTGGATTTGTGTATTTACGAGTTGGATTTGTGTATTTACGAATTGTGTTTTGAATTTACGAATTGGATTTGTGTATTTACGAATTGTGTTTTGAATTTACGAATTGGATTTGTGTATTTACGAATTGTGTTTTGAATTTACGAATTGGATTTGTGTATTTACGAATTGTGTTTTGAATTTACGAATTGGATTTGTGTATTTACGAATTGTGTTTTGAATTTACGAATTGGATTTGTGTATTTACGAATTGTGTTTTGAATTTACGAATTGGATTTGTGAATTTACGAATTGTGTTTTGAATTTACGAATTGGATTTGTGAATTTACGAATTGTGTTTTGAATTTACGAATTGGATTAGTGTTTTTATGAATTATGTTTTGTATTTACGAATTGGATTTGTGTATTTATGAATTGTGTTCTCTATTTACGAATTGGATTTGTGTATTTACGAAATGTGTTCTTTATTTACGAATTAGATTTGTGTATTTATGAATCGTGTTTTGAATTTACGAATTGGATTTGTCAATTTAGAATCGTGTTTTGAATTTAAAAAATAGATTTGTGTATTTACAAAGTGTGTTTTGAACTTATGAATTGGGCTTATATATTTAAGAAGTGTGTTTTGAACTTACAAATTGGATTTGTGTATTTTTGAATCATGTTTTGAATTTACAAGTGAGATTTGTGTATTTTTGAATTGTGTTTTAAATTTACGAATTTTATTTATGTGTATATGAATTGTGTTTTGAATTTAAATGGGATTTGTGTATTTATGAATCGTGTTTTGAACTTACAAATTGGATTTGTGTATTTACAAACTGAGTTGTGAACTTATGAATTGGATTTTGTAAACGTGAATTGTGTTGTGGATGTATAAATTATATTTTGTAAATGTCTTATTTTGAAACTGATCTGGCTCCATAGAGAATTTATGTACCTCCACACGTCAGGCACTGTTTTCTAAATGTTCAATAAATAAGCAACAGCATCAGATTTGTATCAAAGTCAGTGTGTAAATCAATGCATCCCTATTGTTTAGTCATTTGGCTATAACAGTAACAAGACAAAACAAAAACACATTTCATACCTGGCTCTGAGAATGCATCACTAGCATAGTCATCTTTATCTCCCTCATAATCCTCGTCATCCTCCTCTTCCTCTTCCTCATCATTCTCTGAGAGCTCATGTTCACTGCCAAACCCTTCATCGTGGTCTTCATCGTCTAAGTCCAACTCCTCAGCCTTTTCCTCCTCCTCCTCTTCTTCTTCTTCTTCGTCATCCACCTCTTCCTCTTCCTCTTCCTCCTCCTCTTCTATGTCAGCGGTCACCTTCCCTGCCAGCCTGGCCCTGGTCAAGAATAATGAGTAGTTGTGCTCTTCCTCCTTCTTTTTGTCTGCTGCCGAAGCGTCGGATCCAAGGGCACTCATGGTGAGCAAGGTTTCACTGCCGGTAGCTGAAGGGAAGTGGAGTTTGTGTGGCACAGCCCTTAGAGTCCCTACTTCTGGAGCGGGACCACTTGTTACCTCTCGTTTAGGTATCGCCACTCTCTTTTCGCAGCTAATGGACGAAGCAGTGTTGGCGGCGGTAATGACAGCTGGGTCCTCACTGACCAGTGAAGCAGTGGACTCCTGGATGGGAGTAGAGGAAGAAATACTAACCGGCTGGGCAGAGCTCTCTACCAAAGGCTTACGTGGTACGCTGAAGCATACCTTGGCTTTACGAACATAATCCGTGTTTTCCAGAAGCTCGGTTGATGTTTTGCTAGGACCATGAATTTGGGCCTTGGCCATTGTGTCAGTGCTGGAGGGAACAGGCCAGGTTGCCTTCTGGGATCCTTCGGCAAAGTCAGGCAGAGGGTTGCGACTTGATGAGGCGCCGGTCGAAGGGTTACTGAATCTATTGGTCTTTTTGGCCATGGTGGGAGTCGGAAACAAAAGCTGCTTTTGACCCACCAACAAATCAGGATGGTAAAGGGTGTCACAAACTGGCTGCGAGTCCTCACTGTTGAGCTGGGCCAGCGTGGGAGTCCGACTGATCACCTCCTCGTCTTGGTAAGGGCTGGAAAAGTCATCAAGGCCCAAGAAATCAACTTCTTTGGTGCCCCAGATGTCACAACTGGTAAGTCGGGTGTACTTGGTCAAGTCCTCCCAGTATGTGTCCCACTGCTCGAAATTGGAGTTGCAAGCAGGGTCACTGTCCACCAACTCGGGTAGATGATCCATGGTATCCAAGTCCTTGCAGTCCCCTACTGTGAAAATGTCTCCTCTAGGGCTCTGGCGACAAGTCATGTCCCGATCCTGCAAACATTTAAAAATAATATGGTTACCTTTTTCATACTTCACTGGAAAAAACATACAAAGTCGTTAGTTAAAAAGAGGTGTGCTTGTGACAAAATATAATCCTCATGATGTATAATGGCCTGTTTCCACTGAGTAGTACAGTACGGTACGGTACAGGTCGGTACGGGTCACCTTTATCAGGCTTGTGTCTCCACTGCCAAACAGTACCAATGATACTCTTTTGGTGGGCGTGGTGTACAACAGAAAGTTTCAGTCGCCGTCATTCTCACTTGAGGAAATCTCAAAGTAAAGCGGTACGGGTCGTTCACATATCACGATGCAATGTTTTGGCAGTGTATTTAAAAATGGCGGTTCCTTTGTTTTCATTCTCCTAGCTTGTGCACAAGCTACTGACGTATCTCTGTAAACCAATAGCGTTCAGTGGGTCTTGCTCCGCCTTTATGCTACCCTTTTGTTGTGTTAGATTAAGGGTGTACTCACACTATGTACAGTTGCCTTGAACCAGGCCGAAGCACGCTTGTCCCCCCCTTCCGTCTCCCACTAAGTCCCGCACTCACATTACATTCGGGCCTGGGCATGCTTCCGTCATTGATGATGCTCTGTTTAGTAAAAAGCGCTTTCGCTCAGTTGAGATTTCTGTAGTTATATTGTTTTAGTCGTTTGGGATGCGGTCACACGCAGACAAATACTTCGCCGAACAGATCAGCCACTTTTGACGCTCACAAACAACCATAATGCCCCATTCACACGGGGCTTTAGCGTCAACGCTCGACTGAAGGCGTGTCTGAAGTTGGGGCTAACCCGATCGTCATAGCAGCGTCAGCCAATAAAAAAAGTTTACCTAGTCCCAACTTCTGCAGCCTGCATAGCCTCTGAAGTGGCGCCGACGGTTCCACAATGCAGTTCGGCAACGCCTGACGTCACCTATTCAAAGTGAATGGGAAGCGTTGACGCAGACGCCCCGTGTGAATAGGGCGTAAGGTCCTCGTGTTGCAGGAATTAGGAGGTTTGCTGAAGGTGCAGCTTTCGTGCAGTGAGGGGTTTGCGTCTTTAGTAATCTACAACAGTTTGCGTTCATTGAACAGTAAGAATGATTAATAAATCCATATGAAACAGTCCCTTAAAAGTCACGTCTTCTCTTCAGTTTCGGGCTCAGGTGCGCTTTGCACTCACACTACAAGTGTACAAGTGAACCACGCTTAGGCACACCTCTTCCAGTCGGGCCAGGGCCGGCCAATTGAACCGCGCCTGAGCCCGATTCAGAGCACTCACACTTCTCAAACAATCCCTAAAACGGGCCTGGGCACGGTTCGGATAGCATAGTTACTATCTGACTATTATATCCATTACTATTTGTGGCCAATTGATTTTACCCCACATCCCATGTAGCCTTAGTAGTTTAAAAGCCTCAAGGTATGAATGAAAAAACTGAAACCAACACTAGTGAGGTATGTACGAACTCACCAGTTCATACATGAAATCTGGGTCAGAACTGTTAGCCAACAGGTCTGTGCTGGTCAGCGCCTGGTCAGCAAAAGAGCAGTTTTGAAAGGCATCCCCAAAGGGAGGATCCATTCCGCTAATGCTGGGCTATAAGCAAGAGAAACATGCCATTAAAATGGTTTCACAATAACTCAACGGGCATCAACATCTGAATGACAGGCCTCCTACCTGAGGCATTGCAGAGCACAGATCCTCAGTTCCTTGACGGAAACTTTTCTGGCACCTCCTCTGCCTCAATCTCCCTATCTTGTCGTCAATCTCTGGAGGAAGTTTGGTTTTAAACATAAAAAAGTTCTTGTTTTCAATATTGAGGCTTTAGCAGCACACTCAAGTCTGGCTGAGTTGTGCTCCTCACCTGACTGCGGTCTGAGAAAGGAAAACAAAACAGAAGAGAGGTTAGTTAGCACACATTTTAAATAACATGCTTGTTGACGTGACGTTGCATTTTGGACAACAACAAAAATAGTTAGTCTGCATTTACAATGTATCATTGGAATAATATTTGTCAATAGAACTAAAATATGTCCCAAAACGTATAATGTTGGAAAGTGTATGCCAAAGGTGAACCGTACAAACTCTAACTGCTAATATTGCCAAAAATGCATTGGCTGCGTCCAAGATCGCCTACTACTCAGTAGGTACTACTCGTCAGCCGTTAAAATAGTACGCTCCATACAGTATGAATGTGAAAAGTATTAATTGAATTTGGACGTACTACTGTACATCCAACATTTTGTCATGGTCACGTGACCTACCTGCGTCGTCATGGGATAGAGCAGCGTGCATGGAATGCGCACTTCAAAATCTCGCTGAAAGTAGTAAGTCATCCGGGTACTTTTCGCATACTGATTTTCGAATTTTATGAATTCGGACATACTACTCGGCTCGCATACTGATTTTAGTGTACTATATAGTATGGAAGTATGCGATTTCTGAAGCAGCCATTGTGCGTTGTGGGGGTGGGGGGGGGGTCATACAAGAGAGAGACTTAAAGGAAGAAGGTCTCACGTAGCGTTTGTGAGAAATACTACAGTAAGAACTAATCTTTACTAATCAGAATTTGTTGTGAAGTTGCATTGATGAGTCACACACAATATCGTTACAAAGTTCATGCGCGCACACACACACACATACACACACACACACACACACACACACACAGATACACACGCACACCGCTGCTGACACACACACACACACACAGGCAGGCAGACAGACAGACAGACAGACAGACAGACAGACAGAGCGCGCTTAGCACTGTTTTTGCACTCAAGTGTGACAGGATACAGGCTAACCTCCACTGCTGTGTGGATATCTGTGATGTTAATGTACAAAATAAACCTGATTTAACTTCCACAAACCAGGATTAAAGCTTTTTCTTTTATAATTGTTCTGACATGCGGCTGTGCTGATGAAGTAAAGCTGAATTAAATCGCTGTAGTTAATTACACACGTGCTCTGTTTTAAAACACTTTAAACATGTGAAACTTACTCTTAATCACATTTGATGATGATTGCTGATCCTAGCGAACAGAACAGACCTTTTATTCCCGGTTGCTTTGCGTATGTCTGTCTGGTCTTGCTGACATATACACGTGACTACCGGAACATGTTAATGCGCACAGCTGTCAATCAATTCGGTGGCCGGGTGAACCGCACTCCTACGTAAAGTTGCGGTCGGTCTGAAAACCGCTCTAATTGGTCCACCGTTTTTATGTTGTTAAATTGAAAAAAAAAAGGACTGGGTGTGTTTGTATCACCCCAATACAATGGTCCATACACATATGTTTGTCCAAATAGCTTGAAAAGTAGAATTTTCACTATAGGTGCCCTTTAACACGTTTACAAATTTATGTGGATTGAACATAAAACAATTAAGTTATCCCAGTGAAATCTTAAGAATTGTGTTGTTTCAGCTCATTTTAAATAAGCAGTTTGAACGAGCAAAAGTGAGTGTAGGGCATTTTTATGGCACAGTAATTTTTTTAAATAAAATTATTACTTTTTAAATCTCAAATTCAGCCTTTAAACAAGAAAAACTAACTAAATATAACTAGAAAAAATGCTTTTTTACTTGCCTATTTGTGTACAAAACAGGACACAAAAACCCTACACAGTCCGGTAAAGCAGGATATCTACAAACAAAATGTCACTTACAAGCTGCAAACTGGCACAGACTACGAAGCGCTGAGAGTAAACAGCTGTCAAAAGCAACTGTGTGCTGACATGAAAACAGCCACAAACAGGTTGGTTTCATAAGCATCAATGTTATGTTGTTGTTGTTTTGCATCTACAGAAACATTTTCTTAAAAGGCTCAGCCATGGACGCCAAAAAGTTACGGAGGTTGCCCGAGATCCACAGCTGAAGAGAAGGGAGCCTTAAATCGTATCGGTTTGGTAGGCGGCAATAGTGCAAAAGCATTGAACACTAGGGCTATTTTTAAAACGACACCGACGGCTCCCTTTCCCCTCGACTGACAGACAGCCATAGACAGCAGGACCCGAATCGCTGGTCACTCTTTGCATAACAAATCAACAACAAAAAAAATATATGCTGGAGAGCATGTGAGGCTTGTGCTGACCAGCTTCAGCGCCGAGCAAAACAATCCTGTCTCTCGCTTGTGCTTGATGACATCACTTCCTGCTTGCTGCACTGAGCGAGTCAAATAAGCGTCTTATCACCCTTTGGCTTTTGTGCACGGCAGGGTTTGCATACAGCCCACAGAAGCAGCAGAGTGAGAGAAAGAAAAACAACTGAGAAACATTTCCTTTTTTTCTGCTTACTCACTGACAGCCTGCAAACTAGAACTACATTTAGGACTTTCTACAGAAAATATGTAGCATAAAAATACATTTCATTGAACAAATACACTATGTACACATAGACATTACCTACAGTGGGGGAAACAAGTTTTGAACACGTCACCATTTTTCTCAGAAAACATATTTCTAAAGGTGCTGTTGATCTGGAATTGTCTCCAGATGTCAGTAACAACCAAATAAATGCTTGTATGCAAAGAAAACAAAAGTCATAAGTTTACAAATGAGTAATAAAATGAAATGACCCTGGGAAAAGTATTGAACACATGAAGAAAGGGGGGTGTAGAGATGCATGGAAAGCCCAGACAGCAGCTAAAATCTCTTAGTAGTTCCTCAGCAACCCTCTACCCTTCCTCATTTTGAAGCACAATATGCTGTCTTCTTTTCCAGGGATGCCCATGCATATTTCAACAAGACAACCACATTCTGCACACATTACAAAGCTCTGGCTGCAGAGAAAGAGGAAACAGGCACTTAACTGGCCTGCCTGCAGTCCTGACCTGTCTCCAATATAGAATGTGTGGTGCATTTTGAAGTGCAAAACGTATCAATGAAGACCCCATACTTTTGCCCATCTCAAGACTTGTTTGCAGGAAGAATGGGACAAAATTACACCTGAAACACTTCATCACTTGGTGTCTTCAGTCCCTAAACGTCTTTTAAGTGCTGTGAAAAGGAATGGCAACATTACAAAGAGATAAATGCTTTACTGTCCCGAACTTTTCTGATTTGAGGTTGTAGTAGAGCCACGCCTGGTGGCTGTTCAAATACCATGGCATTCCCTATAGGCTCAATACTCTGAGAAACGAGTCACGTTTTACTCCAGCAGCATCACGTAGTGACCTGGCCACTAAGAATGGTTCAGAATCCCTCTAGCCACTATGCAGGACTGGTATCTGTCATTCCCAAGACAAATCGATGCTGCATTGGCCAAAAAAAGACGCCCTACACCCCTGAACTACACCATACTAATGACTTATTGTGGTCTAAAACCAGGTGTTTCAGTTTCATTGTTCAATGCCTGTACTTTCATAAATGTTAATAAATTCAGTCAAATGTTAATAAATTCCGTCATCTTATGAGAATGGTTATTGGCTGCCCATGGTATTGATTTAATATCAATACTAGAAGTACATTGACCAACGGGTCACTTTCAACGACAAAACCACTGCGAGTGCGAATGAGGCAGGAGTATGATAAATAATAATGTTTAGCATTGAGGTCAACCACAACAAGCAGCAGCAAAACTGGGGCTGAATATTAAGGATGATAGGCCAGACGCCTTGTTAACTCATCTCACCACGAGCAGCATGTGAAGAAATGACTACCCAAGGAGACTTACACACCAGGGTTGTCACGAAACTGGAAGTTAGTACTAATCAATACAGAATTTTTATTTGCTGAATATTCATAATTAATAATAATGTGTTATAATTAATCAGTTTCATTCATAAATTTTGTTAATTTCGCTACAAGTGCTCAACAGAAATGACTATGATTGGCTGTGAAGGTCATCGGTTCACTGAACTCACCCCTGTTTACTGAGTGTCATTAGCTGATCACTCGTATAGACAAACCAGCTGATCGACGTGACTTTAAAAGGCTCCAGTGTCCCTGTATCTAAGAATACACTCAGTAGACCGCAGTGAGTTCGATAAACTAATGACCTTCATAGCCAGTCATAGTCATTTCTATTAATAATGTGAACACAACGGCAAATCAGCGCTGTTTAGGAACGTGCTCAACAGCGCTCAAATGTTAGCAGGACATGGAGTTTAGTACAACACTAAACACGCAGTGCAGAATAACTGAAGATATTAGCGTTTTCTTTGCTAATGCTAATTTTGACAGGCCAACAGAGCAAAAGCTAATAACACCACATTGGATGATGGGAAAATATAGAAGTAGAGATGATACAGAAGAAAGAGAAACAGATGAATAGACCACACAGCAGCTGACAATGATTATCTTGTGCGGTAAACAAGCATTGTTCTCATGAATACAAGTCCCTGAGCGGCTGGAATGAAAGGTCTCAATATGATCAGGAGTAGAGGACTATAGAAACATGAGAGCAGCTTTTCAAATGATGTTATTGAGCTGAATACTCTGGTCAGAAAAAGTCATTTCAAATTACCACTTGGAGTAGTTTAGACAATTAAAAAAAACAAGAATTGCGGAAAAGGTTTACAACACATGAGGAGGAGGATATACAGTCAAAAAAAGATCTTTGAAAAAGATTTAAAATGAGCTGAAACAACACGATTCTTAAGGATTTTTAGGGCCAACTTAATTTTTTTATGTTCAATTTAAATTTTTAAAAACAATTAAGTCGGCTAAATTGATCTGTGTTGGGACATTTTTTACAGTGAACAAAATGACATGTAGATATAAAGGTTGGTAATACAACACACTAAAACAATATTTTGAAACATTATTAAAAATGTGCAAATAACAATAATATTTATATATTATATGATAATAATACCTTAAAAATGATAAGGTTATTAGCTAGTAAATAAAATAACTTTTTTTTTAAAATGTCACTT